CGGGTGTTTCACAGGCACACAAGCATCTGGTTGTCTGTCCAGGGCCCCTTTCCTTTTCCAGGGTGGAGCTGACACGGTGGCAGAGCTATTCAGGATGCCTCACTTTTTAAGAGAAAAAAAAAAAATGTACCTTTTTTTTTTTTTTTAAACATGTATGTAAATCTGTCTCTGGATGTGTAGAGAGCCTCGGCTCTACAGTAGTCAAAAACCCACACCTGGTGTGCTTAAGGGGTTCACCTTCAGCTCTCCAGCTGGGCTGGGAGTGGGGGGGTTTGGTTTCTTGTTTAAGCCAAACTCTGCAATTTCAGTTTCTCTGCATTTACACTAATAGGACCCTGTGCGACAGCACAGCTTTCAGATGGGGTGTCTGAACACCTTTACGCTACACCTGAGAGCTCGCTGCCACTTCTGTTTACAAGCTGTTCCCTTGGATAGATTGGGGCCAGGGGGGTTTCCTCTTTGATGCTTTTAACCTTGAAAATACAATCCTGTGTAATGTGTGGCTGAAAGGAAGCTCTCTTCCTGTGGTCACAGACTCATTTGATTACTGCTGCTAAGTCTGTGCCCCTGGAATTAAAGAAGGAAGCGGTGGTGTCTGTCATTCCTGTAGCAGACTGTTCCTCCTCTGTGCAGGGATCGGATCCCCTAAGCAGGACCTTCCCCTACACACTGATCTGTGCTTTATGCCAAACAGTTTTCAGTATGTACTGCACAATGCCATGTATCCAGCTGAGGCTGCAGCCTGCACCTTATGTTTTGCAGCCAGGCTTCTAAATTGCATACTCATTATTTTTTTTTAATGAATGTGTCAAATGCCTACAAAAATGACTTCTCTGTCTGGGGAGAAATCCACACCTGTACTGTAAGGCACTACTTTGTGAGGCTTATGGCTTCTGCTGCAAAGCACTGTATGTAACAGCTGGTGTGTGTATCTGTACACAAACACACCAAAGTATGTACAATGGAGTTTACTTTTTGAAAGCTGGGAAAGCACTGTATTGTTAGTTCCGGATGACATTAGTATTTGGGGGAGGAGGGACAATCCCACGGACTGGAAGATGTTTTGATTGTATCTCAGGAAATCACTGTTACCTCATGGAGATTAGCCTAACTGGACATTAAATTATGTCAATAACATCTTCTGAAGTGTATCCTTTATAGGGATGCTTTCCTGTTCTGTGGTGTTGGAAGGAACATGACTTGTAGCATTACCTATTCAGATCCTGTCCTTCGCTAGCAGAGTGTTTCATTTACCTAGGGATCAGGTATTAAACCAACAGTCAGAGTAACCCAGGTGAAGGCAGGTGCTGTGGACTCAGCTCCTGTTCTGGTTACTCACACGTATCAGCAATATATTTTGCCTGAAGTTAGGAAATGGAATTTCCTTGAACACCCTAAATGGAGGTTGAGTTGTGCTGTGAAAACACAGGTATTGTTTCCTTCCTGATAACACCACGTTTTTAACAGCTCCAGTGAGTTACCTCTGAGCAGAACTCATCCTGCACTTGGCTTTGGGCAAGTTCCGAGCTGGCAGCTTTCAGTAACGGGGCCAAATTCACAAGAGTAAAACCACCTGCAGTGACTGGCGTGCTGGAAAGCTGCACCACCGTCCAGCTTCACCAGAGGGAGTTGGAGTATTTTGCACAAAAGTCCATCACAGAAACTGTCTCCTTTGCCACAGTAACCATACTCGATTTCACATCAAAGTAAGGGGAGTAAATCATTGCCTGTGTGACTTCTACGCCATTCAAGCAGCTGTTTTTTTCCTCTTTGTGCAGCTGAATTAGTATTTAGAATTTTTTAAAATAAGTTAGATAGTTAAAGCTAACAAATATTCCATTAAGGGGGAGGTAATCTTAAGAGGATGTCAGTATAAACACATCTATATAACACAGCCGTAGAAATCTATGACCATTGCTTGCCTGAAGTACTTACGTACGTGTGTTCTACAGCATACCCGCTGCTCTTCATACATGGAAAAACACCCTTGTGGCAAAAGTGGTACAGAACTTGGCAGTATAAGCAGGTTTTATGACACAGTATAAATTTATAATAAGCCAATAAAATGCAGTACATTAAACTTCCCAATTCAGAGCTATCCTGTTTTCTAAAATTCAAACCTGACAGAAAAAAAATGCAAGCTGTGACGCAACCTAAACAACTATGCTGTGGAACGTGTACCTAAACCAAAGTGTTTAAATGACAGTTAACATCATAGCTCAGTGTGAGAAAAACTGAGATCAGCTCCTAAAAACAGCCATATAGCTGAGTAATAGCTCACCGACCTTGCAATCCAGGAACAGCCTGCTGCAGACAAGTTCTTGCGATGTGCTGAGGAAGATGGGGTGATCTCCACGATGACGTGACCTTCAATGAAAAAAAAAAAAAAAATTACTGCTGTGTACATCTCTGAACACTACCCTTTAGTTCAGGTAACGCAGCAGATTATTCTGAAGTTCTTTTAAAAATAAATTATGTGACATTCCTTCAGTGCAGGCTGCTTCTAAGGGGGTGAATGCTTGGATCAGAACCAGCCAGGGAACTTCAGATAACGGCAGGAAGCGAGGCTGGTCAGCATGTAAATTTTTTCCTACTCAGCCTCCGTGGGGTAATGGCTGTGTGATGGTAACGGGCATCACGCTCCACAAGGCACACGAGCTTGCTGGGCTCCGCTCCTACCAAAAGCGTGTTCTCCTTGGCCGTGCTTTCCCATGAGCAACCTGCACCAATTCAGATCTGCTCCCGGCATCACCCGAGTCACAAACCCTGCTGTCTGTGGAAACTCTGAATGGGGTCGGTTTCTACAAACACATCCCTTAAAGAGTTCAGCTGGGGCGGGGGGTGTTAATGCAAAAAAAGTGTGTGTCCAAATTAGGGGGGATGCACCTGAGTTTACCCCTATCCTACAGAAAGTCCGATTTACAGAGCTGCGACAAGGAATTCAGTAAGTCACTGCTCGAGTAAAGGCTACTCACGGAGTAAAGGAAACCAGGACCAGGCCAGTGGTTTGCAACCACGCACGCTCACAGGGTATTGCTGCCTATTTGACTGCTGCCCACTAAGCATAGAGTTACACATTTAATCCATTTTGTTAAACAAATTCTTCCCTGTTATTTTCACCGCTCCGAGTTCTATTTAAAGACACTTCCCAGGAACTGCTGAGACTGGATCCCCTGCCCCTGTTCCCTCTCCCATATTTGGAGATTTCTTTGAAACATTTTCCCCAGAACAGACCAATAATGGTCCCTGCCCTGCTGCTGTGCTGGAGCTTTGGCTACGCAGCAGCCCTCACCCCCACGTGCCTGTCGGCTCAGTTCCGAAGGCCGGGCGATTACATCCTGGGAGGCTTGTTCCCGTTCGGAATGGACACCGTAAACCTGACGGCGCGGTCGGAGCCCACGTTAGTCGTGTGTGAAAGGTAAGAGGAATGGTCGCTTCATTAGCACATGCTGAATTTGGTCACTTGGGCCGGGGAGAGAAAGGAAAAGCAAGTAGTCCTGATGGCAACTGATGGTCTCGCAGCCGAACTTTAAAGGAGGGACGGAAACAAAGATCAGCTCCCAGGTGCTGCAGCGCTGGGGTACTGTGCCATCAACTTCTGATCCTGGAAATGGGTTTGTGTTTTCTTGATGCTGCTCTGCAGTCCAGCTCCAGATGCAATGGACCCTGCTTTGATGAAAGCTTTTAGCAGCACTGGCTTCCTTAGTGTTTTGAATCTAACACTTACACAAAGGTGTAAATGTTGCTTTTGCTTCCAGCTGGAAGCTGCGCTCTGCAGGCAGGTGACACGTTGAGGTGGCACTATGGCCTTTGAGGAGGCAAAAGGACCCTGAGTGCTGTGCACAAGGCAAAGCAGGAAACAAAATCCCCTGGCTTGCAGGCTGGCTGGTGTGTGAAGAGTCAAGAGCAGGATTTCCTACTCAGTTACACCAAGGTGGTTCACACCATCCCATTACAAGCTACTTACAGCTCTTTGGGAGGAGAATGAAGACCTGCTGGTGTCCTACCTGCAGCTTTGGCAGCAACAAAGCACAGAGCAGCATCCTTCCAGCTTCGCAGGCCAGGAGGCACGGACTGTGTCCAGTGCGCTGAGCTGCACAGCGGAGGAAAATCCCAGGGAGAAGGACGTGTCACCTGAATTATCACGCACTTTGGGAACCGCTGACTTCATGGCTGAAGCACTCCAAGCTAAGAGCAGGAGGTCATCCGAGTCTTGACCCTCACAGCTAAGTGTACTGGTGTCTCTATGCCTCTGTTTCTTCTCCTGTGAAGCACGTTTGCTACAAGATTAATTAGATTGGAAAGGTGCTCAGAGCCCCTCTGCTCGCAGTACAAAATTTACAAAGGCTGTGGGTGCAGGGACGCTCTGCTGACAGTGCGACGTATACCCGGGCGTGGCTATCACAGAGAGGATGCTGGAATGAACGTGGAGCAAGCTGATCACCACTGTAACAGCACCAATAGACCATGTAACTAATTCTCTGTCTCCCCTTACTGCAGGTTATTTGTGGATGGGCTGATCTGGGCTCTTGGAATGAAGTTTGCTATTGATCAGATCAACAATTCCACTTCCCTTCTCCCGGGAGTAAGGCTGGGCTATGACATCTACGACACCTGCCTTGAGCCCACGGTGGCCTTACAGCCCAGCTTGCTATTTCTGACCCGGAACGGCACAACGGGCATCGGCGTGCTGTGCGACTACAGCGAGTACCAGCCTCGTGTCACTGCTGTGATCGGACCATACAAGTCCAATGTCGGCCTGGTGACAGCCAAACTATTCAGCTCCTTCTTGATCCCACAGGTAAAGAAACTCCCTGAAGAAGCAGTAATTCTTTTGGGTGAGGGAGGGGTTTGGATCAACACCACTGTCTATGCTCTAGGTCCTTGAACTGGGACTGTCAGAGTGCAGATTCCAGTCTTTCCTCTGCCAAGTGACAGGGACGAGTTTATGATTCTCTTGGCAAATGCAGCTACAAGAGATCTTTCAGTTTAGATGAGTTCTTCCTTCCCGCTATCCTGATCCAGCATTTCTGGAAATCGAGTGCGCTGAGACAAAGCAAAGAAGGTGGAGAGTGATCTGGACTGTGAACACTTCCCTCAACTTTACTCTTTGTTTTCTTTCTTACCCTCTCCTCTAACTTGCAGGTCAGCTATGGAGCCAGCAGTGAGAAGTTCAGCAACACGGAGTTGTACCCATCCTTCTACCGCACTGTTCCTAGTGATAGGAACTTGGTGGAAGCTGTGGTCCTGCTACTGGAGAGGTTTGGATGGAACTGGATTGCCACCATAGGAAGCGATGATGAATACGGCCGAGGAGCCCAGGGGCTCTTCGTAAGCATGGCTGGAAATCACAGCATCTGCATTGCATTTGAGGGGCTAATTCCTACAGACTTCACAGACCCCGAAGCCAAAAACCAACTGGAAGATACCATTAAGTTAATTAACAAGACCAAAGTCAACATCATTGTCCTTTTTGCCTTTACTCAGCCAGCCCAGGCCCTGCTGGAACACAGCATCAGGATGGGACTGAGCGAGAAAGTCTGGATTGGCACCGACGCCTGGATGTTGTCCGACATAGTTGCTTCCATCCCAAATATTCAGAGCATTGGGACAGTCTTAGGCTTTATTATGAAAGCAGGCACAGTCCCTGGCTTCCAGAAATATGTTGCCGACCTCTTTACCTCTTTTTTTTTTGCCAGGAGTCTAGAGAATTCAACCGCCTCATGAACCCCGACATGCTGGACACACACTGCAAACAGTGCGACCGCATCTCGCTGCACGACGTCTCAGCCATGCTGAGCCACCCGCAAGTCCAGCCGGTGTATGTTGCAGTCTACAGCGTGGCGTACGCCCTGCACAGAGCGCTGGGGTGCACCCACCAAGCCTGTCCCAAAGCATCCATCAGATCTTGGCAGGTACGTAATGGCCTGGGGGACAAACAGCAACCTTAGCCCACGTAAGGGACACCTGACTTCAGCCAGAAATTACCTTACTGCACATCATCCTCCAAGCAAGACCATCAACTGCACAGCATTTACTGTCAGTTTTCATTTTCTCCCCAGCTGCTGCACTTCATGAATACCTTCCCGTTCAAGGTGAACGGCCAGAGTTTCAGGTTTGATCAATCCCATGGCACAAACACTGGCTACAAGCTTATATTCTGGTCCTGGGCAAACAGCACCCTGACGTATCTGCCTGTAGGCGACTTTGAAGAGTCCTTGTACATCAGTGAGTCCCAGATTCGGTTTCACACTGCAGATCAAAAGGTAAAAGATGGTGGGCATGAACAATCGCAAAAGGAAGTAAACTTTTTTTGCTGCTTCATCAGGACTGTTTGTACAGAGCTCTTAGCCTGCATGCTGCTCCGACAAGATCTGACAGCCACTCTTCCTTTTCCCTAGGAGCCTACATCCGAGTGCTTCAGACACTGTGAACCAGGGCAACTCAAGCGAATAAAAGGATTCCAGCTCTGCTGCTATGACTGTATGGATTGTCCTGAAAACACCTTCTGGACCGCTGAAGGTGAGGTTGGAGAAATTCAATGGCTTGAACTGTCTGTATTACCTCTATATCTACCCGTCGAGGTCACACAGGTTCACAGCGCTGGCAGAGACCAGCTGTTAGCTCTTCCTCCACGGAACACTTCACCTCAAGAGGTAAGAGAGAGGGGTATGATGAAATTCTGGGGTCACACGCAGAAGAGAGGTGTATGATGAGATTCTGGGATTTTTTGGAAGCTGCTGATCCTTCCTGGGGAAGAGAAACAGAGCCAAGAAATACATGGATCCTTTTGAGGGGAGGGTGGAGAAGCAGAGGGGAGAAAAAAAAAGAGATTGAACTATCACAAGCTTTGCAGATCTGATATGCTTAGGAAGAGGGGGGAGGTAGGCAAAGCAGCACCCAAACCAGCTGATTCTGCGATCCATCCTCACGGGCTGCCGCAGCAGGGCAGCAGCACTCCGCTGCAAGGTGGTCACCAACCTCTCGGTGGTCTTTGCAGCCAGCTCCACCTGCACTCCCTGCCTGCAGCACCAGTGGTCCCCGGCCCGCAGCACGCAGTGTTACGACCGCAGCGAGAGATACCTCTTCTGGAACGAGCCGCTCACCGTCGCCTTGCTAACGCTGATGTCCATCACCGTAGCCCTGACTTGTCTGACAGCAGCGCTCTTTTTTAAGAACCTCGAGACTCCCCTCGTGCAGGCTTCTGGGGGCGAACGGAACCTCTTTGCCTTGCTGTCGCTCGTGCTGCTGTGTCTCAGCTCCTGTCTCTACGTAGGAAAGCCCAGTAACAACCTTTGTAGGATCCAGCAGATTGTCTGTGCCCTGTGCCTCAACGGTTGCTTCTCCACCTTCTTCATCAAGTCCCTGGAGATCACCCTTGTGACCGAGTTCCCTCGCTGTGTCCCCACCCTCCTGCGCTGGGTGACGCAGAGGAGGGCCTGGCTCCTGGTCGCTGTGTGCCTCCTCACCGAGAGCTGCTTCTGTTTCTGCTACCTTCGCCTGGGCCCGGACCGTCTGGTCTCCGATTACGAGTCCCTACCCACGGAGGTTCTGTTTGTGTGTAACACCGAGTCCTGGCTGGCCTTCGCGCTAGTGCACGGCTACAACGGCTGCGTGGCCTTCGGCTGCGTCCTCTGCACCTTCATGGTGCAGACCTCCGGGAAGAAGTACAACGTCGCCAGGGGGATCACGTTTGCCATGCTCATCTATTTCGTCATCTGGATCTTCTTCATTGCTGTTTTTGCCACGCTGAAGACGGTCCTCAGGTCTGTTTCTCAGATTGGAACCGTTCTGGCCACCAGCCTGGGTATCTTGGGCACCTACTATGTCCCTAAATGCTACATCCTCTTGCTTAAGCCCAATCTCAACACCGTGGATTATTTCCAGAATTCCATCAAAGAGGAGCCAGAGGAGGACTCTCAATAACCAGAAAATAAACCAGATCCACTGTCACCTGCTCCTCTGCCTTTTCATGAGATAATTCTGGCTTTGATGACTCTGTAAGCTCTGGTCCCAGACACAACTGACATATAAAACACAGCCTTAGCCAGCATCGAAACAAAACACAAGCAAAAACCTGTATTTCTCAAGAGATTTCAGAGTTTCATCACAAGTCAGAATAATTGTAGTTATTCAAGACAGAATCTCAGTAAAACAGATTTCTTTTTTTTTTAAAGATAAATGATATTGTAAAGGTTTAGCTATCATAATGGAAATATTTATCATAATTTCAGACTTTTACAATATGAAATTCAGTTTGATATCACTGTCATGAAACAAAAAGCCAAAATTTCCAAAATCAACGTTTAAATTTCTGTTAAGTAATATTTTCTATGGAAAAAAAAATTTTAAAATTTTCCTTACTACTTTGTCATAAAAACTATAGAAACCATTCTGATATGTAAAGGCAGCTGTATGCATGATATAAAGAGCATATAACCCATTCAAATTTCAGTTCACTCATTTGTGTTTTATTAACATGTGTTTGCAAAGAGCATGGAAATGAGGAGCAGGCACACGGAAATGAACAGTGTGGAAATCCCATTATCCAAAGTCGTAGCAAAAAGTTCCTCCCATCTCAAAAAACATGCAAAAATCACCAGAGAGAAACATTTCTTACCCTGTGGGACATTCTCCAAAGGGAACAAAAAAATTCACAACACTGTGAGGAATAAGAAATCTCTCTAACCTGTATCCATCCATGTAACGTGGCCCCTGGTCCCAGAACAGCAGGAGGATTCTCATTTTCAAGTGAAACCAGAAATATTTTAATAAAGGCTGTTCACAGTAATTTTTTTATCCTTTAAACAGTCCTTATTCTGCACTCCTTTGCAAAAAAATGTGTCAGTGTAAAGCAGCAAACCATGAAAGGTGAAAATGGAAAAAACCTCCACATTATTTCACATCACTACCAAACAGTAGCAGGTAAATATCCAGTCACATCACTAAGATATTTTCTTTTCCCCTCCTGCTTTGACAAGCGACTATACTGCTCTGTTATCCCCACATGAGACTTAAAAAATTACTTTTTGGTGCGCTGCAAAACTGGCTGTCCTCGATTTCTGCGGCTACCTGCATATAACATTCTCCTAGCATACTTGAGGAAAAATGTGAAACATTGGACAAAAATACTCAGTTATGATTAAAGTTACCAAAAATCTGACCTGCAGACTGGCAGTCCTTGTTTCTGGAGACTGCAGCAAGTCTTCATGAGGATCTTGGTGTATAATCTCAGCAGTACTCTCGCTTCAGTGCTATGATTTCACGGCAGAGCAGCATTCAGGAACTTTTGATCATCATTCCAGAAACAGAGAAGGGAAAAATCAAATTTACCTCTGTTGCTTCTCTTTGTGGCAGCAGAGCTAGAGCCACGATAGACTCATTTTTTTCTTTTCTTTAGGGGGGAAGGGAAAGGCAGCTGATTAAATGGTTCAACCTGTTCCAGGCACCTGCAGCCAATTCACACCAGCTCAGCTGGAGCCCATCAGGCCCTGCCCTGAAAGGCTGCAAGAGCACGTCCAAAATTCACCCAAGTTGGAAAATGCTGGCTAGACCTTTCTGCATCCTATGTAAACACATGTGGTTTGAAAGGGAAGAATATGGGAAACTCTGCAAGACTTTCTCACAGGCTCTCATATGCATCTGCTGCAGAATTGCACCATTTATAATGGGTACCTCTGTAGCTACTACTTTGGCTCTCCCTTTGCTCCTTGATCTCTGCCAGCTAAGGAGAAGGAATCTGCCTCCTCAAGCTGTGGTTGTTCGTTGTGTATGAAGCACTCAGACCTTCCAGGGAGGCTGGGTGTCCAAATACAAATACAGCGTGGGTGAAGGCTTACCAGTCAGTCTGCAAAGAGGTGTCCTAACGCTCCTAGCTCCTCTCTGCTGGACTTTGTGCGCAAATTCCAGAACAAGGGAATATTCCCAGGAAACAGCTGAACACACTGATGGGCTCTACCAGCAGATTCACCTCCTGGCTCTGCAGGCAGGAAACCTTGTTCCAGCTCCTGTCTGTGTAACAGGATGTATCCTCCAGCTGTCTTTTACTTCCAAACTTTCTCCTGTGCACCTACTCCTGCCAAGCTGTGAGAGGGAGAAGCTCAATAATTAAGAGGAAGGGCAATTTACGGGGAAAACTCAACTTCTTCACCGATGTATTAGCCATTAGCTCAAAGCTACAGCACGTCTGATGAAGAGCTGGGGCTTGTGTTTCCAGCCAGATGTCATTAACCTGCAGGAAGAGGCAGACCTCTGCACTTCCATCCTCTGCGACTCAGTGTAGCAGTGAAAATTTAGGGGGTTCCCTGTCATACTCTGAACTTCAACCACTTCTGAAGTACCATTAAACCACAGAACTCCCAGCTGCCTATCATTAGCTCCTGAAAATCTTCTCCTGTTGACAGGACAAAACTTCAGAGTGGCAGGGGGAAGAAAAAAAAAAAAAAAAAGAGTAAGATTCAACCAATATTTCATCATTCTTGAATAAAAGATAATGCAGTCGTGCAAAGAACTGAAGACATACACTGGGGTTATCACATAAAATTAAAAGCTTTTTAGTGTTTAAAATAGCATTTACACATAAGCAGCTATATATTAACTATACAGACACTTGGGTTTTAATACAATATCTACAAAAAAGAATTCAATTATGCAATAGACATTTAACAGGAACAGTGCAGTCCATGCTAGTAAGAGGTCACTCTTGGAGTAGAACCAATTCTAGAATAGGTGATAGTCTGGGTTTTCATTATTTAAAATCATGTAACTTTGTTCCTCTACTGTACATAAAATTCTTTACATGTATTTCTAATCACTGATTAGAATTAATAATTTTAAGTCAATCTTATTACAATCCAGTTAAATGCAAACCAAAAACAATTACATCAACTCATGAGCTGTCAAGTCTCCAGATGGGACGGCCCATTTCAATAGAACAAAAATAATATCAAAAGTCAATGTCTGTGCATCATCGCTTGCCATCCAATATACCTTTGGATAAAGTGTCCAGGGGACTGTTACCTTGGAAAAGCAGATTTATTAACAGGAGGTAAAGACAACAGCAGTGCTTTTAAGACTATTTGCCACAAACCTTACTCCTCAGAGCTAATACACTGGGTGGGCACACTACCCCTGCAGAGACCACCTCCTTTGGAAAGGAGACGTCATCCCATACTGTCTTCTCATCATTTTCTATGATCTTCCAGACATAACCTGTTAGTCCTTGTTAAAAGCTATTGGCAGGTATGCGTGAACACTAAGCTCCGCTGCAGAGCGCAGGCAGATGGTGAGGGTCTCACTTCCAGAATAAAAATGTCAACTACTTAAGGCTCCTGTTACGAGGCTGTTTCACTACCCTACGCAGCAAACCCAGAACTTCTCACGGCAGTCAGAGGCTGGAGCCCAGCCAGTGCCAGCTACTTGACGTTAAAACCAGCAAAAAAATTTCAGGCCCTGGTGAGAGAAACTGACAGCTCTGCAGGACCCCAGCCTTCGAACTTTCTTCCACCTGGCACAGAACTTCCTCCTGTAAGCAGCTTCCTTGGCATCAGTGGTGCTTCTTTCTGTACCCAAAACATGCACCGTGAGGCCCCGAGACCCCTGCACGTGCATTGAAAGCCAAGAGTGGGATTTGGGCTTCGTTCCCTTTTGAAAATGAAGAGCCAGCAATGGTTCAGGGAAACGGTCTGTTTTACGCACAGTGGCCGTTACGTACTGCACTGCTCGCAGGAGGGTCACTGACCCTCTCCTGCTGCTCTCTGCACACAGCAGGCTCCCCACGCTGCCCGGTACTAACCCACCAGCACGCCTGTCGCTGCATTCAGCCCTTCCCACCTGTGCTGCGGGCTGTCAGCCTCCTTCCAGAGCTCCCCACAACCACGCACGTCTGTAACACAGTCTTTTCAACATAGCAGCAAAGACCAGCAAGACACAGAACAGTTTCTGCCAACAGCAAAACAATAAGACAAAAAAAACCCAAAACCTCCAGCAGACGTGTAAACTCCAACTCTTGCAAAGACATGAGGAAATTAAACACGTTTCTTCCACGGGTGAAAGCACAGCCCCCAGCTTTAATCCCTTTTGGAAAGATTAAAATGACAGTTTTTTCCTCCAGCCCTGTAAGTTCTGCCTTAAGACAAAGTGGGCCAGAAAAACTGTAATATATAACAGACCAGAAAAATTTAAATTAATTTCAAAGTAGAACCACTAGCAATTGTCAGTAAAGTCACAGACTCCTCAGCAGTGTCTCCTGGAGACATAGCAGAATTACAGAGTTATTTTACCCTGATTTATTTCTTTGCTTTAAAATGTCAATCTTTCAAAATAATTTATTAGCATCTTTGCTGTGTGACCGGGAGGAGGAAAGGAAAAGGAAGGATACTGTTGCACAGTCAAGCTTTAGGTAGCGCCGTTCTTTTGAACAAGCCATCGCCAGCTCTGCAATCTATGCTAGCCCATCAGATGGATGACGAGGAAAGCACTGCTTTCTGAACCGTTAGGTAGCTTTTCAGGAGATTTTTGTAAAGAAATCTGTCCAAAACCACTCAGCTAGTTCAGAAGCCCAGCCGCTGGAGTAGCTAGTCTGAGTGACACAGAGTCTCCTAAACGCCTAGCTCCCTTTCGAAAGTGAGACTTAATCCTCCAGCAAACGCAGACATTTGAAAACCTACTCTGACCTTTGTAAAAGGGATGTGTGTGCACACAGACCTGTGATCAGAAAAGAAGCAGCGAAAAATCTATCCGAATGAACAACGCACAAAACGGACAGTTCGAAGAGTGATTTTTCAGGGTGAGAAAGGAACATGGTGTATCGTGATAAACGTTCTCTTTTGACATTCATATCGGATATTCACACTACCCATAAAGCATGGAACATAACAGAAGCTTCTTACCAGGGAAGAAAATGCTGATATAAAGACTGACTTTAA